GTTGTTAAGAAGGCATACGGTGTGTTAGGTTTTATTGGTAGAGGGATTGAGTTTCCGAGCCAGGAGGTCATGTTGCAGCTGTACAAAACTCTGGTGCGGCCGCACTTGGAGTATTGCATACAGTTCTGGTCACCGCATTATAGGAAGGATGTGGAAGCATTGGAAAGGGTGCAGAGGAGATTTACCAGGATGTTGCCTGGTATGGAGGGAAGGTCTTATGAGGAAAGACTGAGGGACTTGAGGCTGTTTTCGTTGGAGAGAAGAAGGTTAAGAGGTGACTTAATAGAGACATACAAGATGATCAGAGGATTAGATAGGGTGGCCAGTGGGAGCCTTTTTCCTCGGATGGTGATGGCTAGCACGAGGGGACATAGCTTTAAATTGAGGGGTGATAGATATAGGACAGATGTCAGAGGTAGATTCTTTACTCAGAGAGTAGTAAGGGCGTGGAATGCCCTGCCTGCAAAAGTAGTCGACTCGCCAACTTTAAGGGCAGGTCAATGGTCATTGGATAAACATATGGATGATAATGGAATAGTGTAGGTTAGATGGGCTTCAGATTGGTTTCACAGGTCGGCGCAACATCGAGGGCCCAAGGGCTTGTACTGCGCTGTAATGTTCTATGTTCTATTCCCAATCCCTCGCTTTGCGTTAGGAGCGGCGCAGGGTGTGAAACAGGGACCCTGCCCATGTCCCCAATCCTCCCTTCACCCCAAACCCCCCTCTTACCTTGTAGTAGGAGAGCTGCAGATAGTTGTAGGCTGCTCGGCTACGGAAGGCGTCGCGGACCTGCCCGCTGACCCGCGGCCGGGTGCTCGGGAAGCGCAGGCAGCTGTCCAGGCAGGTGGCTGTGCCCAGGACCCGGGCAAAGAAACCTTCTCCCACCTCGGATCCCCGCTCCCGACACAGGCGGCGGCAGTGGGCTAGCAGGCGGCGCAGGGCCGAGCGACTGAGCAGCGAGCGCTGCAGCAGCCCGGCCGCCTGTTCCCAATCCCCCTGGTGGTAATGCTGGAGGCCGCTGGAGAACAGGAGGTTGTAGGGCTCCCTCAGGGAGGGCTCCGGGAGCGCGGTGCGATGGTCCCCGCTGCCGAACAGCAGCACCAACAGCAGCAGCACGGGAAGGAGGGACATTGCTGTATCCTCAGCCCCCACCCGGGAAAAGGGTTGCAGACAGCGGACACGTCGCCGTGGCAGAGGGGGATAAAAACCTAGTAGGAACAGGAGAGGAAGGGGATGGACTGAGAGAGGAAATGAGAGGGAGAAAGAGTGTGTGTGTGTGTGAGAGAGAGAGAGAGAGAGAGAGAGACTGGATTGGAAGTGCAGTCTGATTGTGAATGGGTTGGGTTTGAACAGAGCATTTTTAACTTTTTTTAAAATCTCACAACGCTCCCTGCTGAGCGGGTGAAGAGGCACGGATAGATAAAGACAGGGCGAGAGGAAGAGAGACACAGGGAAAGACAGAGCGCGAGGGAGAGAGACAAAGAGATGCACGAAGAGACAGGGCGTGAGAGAGCGGCGGCACACACGGAGAGACGGAGACAAGGCGAGAGAGAAAATCAGAAGCGCACACACAGAGAGAGGCAGAGACAAGGAGAGAGAGAGAGGCAGAGAGGGGTGCACACACACAGACGAAGAGACCGGGTGAGAGAGACAGAGAAGCACACAGAGAGATAGGCAGAGACAGGGCTTCAGAGAGAGGGAGAGACAGAGAGAATGGGGGCGGAGGTGAGAAAGTGGGAGAGAGAGACGAAGAGAGAAAGAGACACAGGAGGGAGGGACAGTCGTAGAGTTGTACAGCAGGGAAACCGACCCTTCAGTCCAACTCGTCCATGTCGACCAGATATCCTAAATCAATCTAGTTCCATTTGCCAGCATGTAGCCCATATCCCTCCAGACCCTTCCTATTCATGTACCCATCCAGATGACTTTTAAATATTGTGATTATAATTGCCTCTATCACTTCCTCTGGCAGCTCATTCCATACACAAACTACACTAGGTGTGAAAATATTGCCCCTTAGGTTTAAGGTGAGAGGGTAAAGATATAAAATGGGACCTATGTACTTTGGACACCCCTATCCTGGGAAAAAGACCTTGGCTATTCACCCAAGCCTTGCCCCTCATGATTTCATAAACTTCTATAAGGTCACCCCTCAGTCTCCGTTGCTCCAGTGAAAATAGCCCCAGCCTATTCAGCCTCCCCTAATAGCTGAAACCCTCCAACCCTGGCAACATCCTTGCAAATCTTTTCTGAACCCTTTCAAGTTTAACAACAGCTTTTCTATAACGGGAGACCAGAATTTAACTCAAAATTCCAAAAGTGGCCTAACAGATGAATGTTGGATGAGTCCTCTAGTATGTCCTCTCTGAGTGCAGATGTAATATTCTCCTTGATTAGCAATGCCATTCCTCCACCTCTCTTGCCTTCCTTTCTATCTCATCTAAAACAACGAAGCCCTGGAAAGTTGGGCAGCCAGTCCCGTCCATCTCTCAGCCAAGTCTCTGTAATGGCCACATCTTAGTCCCATGTACTGATACAGGCTCCAAGCTTATCTGCCTTATCCATAATACTGCTTGCTTTGAAATAAACACTCTTCAGTTTAAATCCTCCGAGGTAGCACTAGCGAACCTCCATGACAGGAGACTGGTTCCTCTCCAGTTTAGGTGCAACCCCCATCCCTCTTGTACAGGGCACCCCCACCCCAGAAATCCAAGAACCTGAAACCCCACCCCCTGCACCAGCTCCTTAGCCACACATTCATCTGTCCTATCGTTCCACTCCTTGCCTCACTAGCATGTGGCACTGGTAGCAACCCAGAAATTACTACCCTCGAGGTCCTGCTTTTCAACCTCTTTCCTAACCCCCTGTACCCACTCCGCAAGACCTCATCCCTCTTTCTACCTATGTCATTGGTACAAATGTGCACAACAACCTCTGGCCACTCATCCTACCCCTTGAGAATGTCATGTAACTGCTCAGAGACATCTTGACCCTGGCACCAGGGAGGCAACACACCATCCTGGAGTCTCAAACTCGGCCACAGAAACGCCTGTCTGTGCCCCTAACTAGCAAGTCTCCCACCACTATCGCCCGCTTGGACTTTGCCTGACCCCGCTGGCATTCTTTTTACATTTGCAATTATGCTCGGTAAACAGCAGCCAATGTCCATACATCCTGTGAGAGGCCTCATAATGATGAGTGTTATGAACACAAAGACACTCTCCCAGCTCTTTTCCTCTCCTCTATTTGCACATGCTCGCTAATTTTATCAATGCTTCTGATATCAACCACCCATTGTCTTCATTCTGGAAGCATTCTCTAACAAAAACAAAACAAAGACAGCCAACTCATTTGAGATAACAAGGTGTAGAGCTGGATGAACACAGCAGGCCAAGCAGCATCACAGGAGCAGGAAGGCTGAC